AACTACTTCACACCCACTAGAGGGCTTTAACAAAAAAGATGGGCAATAACAAGTGTTGGCGAGGATGCAGAGAAACTGGATCCCTGATACATTGTTGGTGGGAATTTGAAATGGTATAGCCACCTTGGAAACAGTCTAGTAGCTCCTCAGAAGGTTAAATACAAAGTTATATGATTCAGCAGTTCCACTCCTAGGAATATTATGAAAATAACTGATAACAAGTCTTAAAAAGCTTGTCTCAAATGCTCACAGCAGCATTATTTATAATAGCCCCAAAGTGGAAACAACCCAAATGGCCCTCAACCAATGAACAACAAAATGTGGTATTGGTCAACAAAATGGATCAACATAATGGAATATTACTCAGCAATTAAAAGGAACAAAGGACTAATACATGACAATATCTCTGGTGAGTACATCAATGGCAAGGGTAAACCTTCAAAGTATTATGCTAAAGTGAAAGAAGCTAGACACAGAAGGCTACATCTTGCAAGATTCTATTTATACAAATGCCCCAAACAGGTACATCCACAGAGACAGAAGGTAGATTACTGGTTGCCTGGGGTTGAGGGGAGTGGGCAATGAGGAATAACCACTAATGGGTACAGCATTTCCTTTTAGGGTGGTGAAAATGTTTTGGAATTATCACAGTGGTGATGGTTGTACAACACTGTGAATATATCAACAACCACTGAATTGTTCATCTTAGGGTGAATTTTATGGTATGCAAATTATGTCTTAATTTAAAAGATAAACCTACATAAAATTCAAACATTACAGACATACATAGAAATGAAACTTTCCCTACACTCCTCTTCAATGTGCTCCCGGTTTTTTCTTATTCTCTATACTGATTTCATTTATAGGGTGTGCATATTTAGGAAACAAACTAGGACCTTGTGCATACTGTTTTGTGATTTTCACTTAATGTGACTTGTTCATTTTTTTTTTATTGGAAGAGAAAAATTCCCAACCTGACTTCTTAAGGAATATAGCAAATCCAGAAGTCATAAAAAAAGACTTATACCTTGACTACATAAAACTAAAAAACTTTTATATGGGAAAAGGTACAATAAATAAAGAAGCAGACTAAGGGAATATCCAAGCAACATTTATGAGAAAGGGTTCATATTCCTAATATTGGGGAGTAAGATTCCTACATGTTGATTTAAAGTTAAACAATGCAAAAGAAAAAATGGGCAAAGAGGTGAACCAGCAATTCACAGGAAAGGAAATATCAATGTTCAATACACACAAAACAACATGTCAGCTTCATTAGTAGTCACCATTTTTTGCCCATCAAATTGGCAAAAATTAAAAAGACTGGTGACAACTAGTATGGGCAAGAATAGGGGAAACTGGACACTCTAAGTTGTTGGATGAAATGTGAATTGCTACAAAGTTTTGGGTAGGTCATTAGGTAGTGTTTAATAAATGAGCACAACATTTAGCCCATCTATGAAACTAACCCACAAAAATAAAAGCACCACTACTAACAGTATGCTCACAAAATGTTTATTGCAGCCATGTTTATCAGAGGGAAAAACTGAAAACAACTGAAATGTCCACTGATAAGTGACAGCTGAATGAACTACGATTTACAAGAACCAGAGATACTAGAGAAACATGTCTTGGCCCTATGTGATTGACCTACAGCCATGTGGATGGTAGACAGCTATGTGAAAAAAGGAAGCTGCTAACTCTACAATATAATGCCATTAAAATAAAACCCAAACCCATAGAGAGGTGAATATATATTTGTATATTATTGCAGGCAAAGAGAGCGCCTGTGAAATTTGGTGTGTTTGGGGCTGGGTATGCTGTGTTCTAGAATTTAAAAAAGAGTGTCATTTTAAGAAGCTGATTATTGATAAAGGATAATACTGTGCTAATTTGATCTTTCTCGAAGCTAGGGAACAGTTAAAAAGGATGGGAGAAGCCAATGATTGTGAGATGGAAGGGCTGCTTAACATGGTATAACTACAACATCTCACATAATATAAGGTATGTGAACACTTTTCTTTTGATCTAACATTTTGGCTCCCTACAGGGGTGGAAGAAGAGAGACTGGGAAAATGCACATGAAGTATTAGACTGGTGTCTGGCAAGGGGTGGAAACTCCTGTCTTCACTTCTGACTCTGGTGTCTCCTTGGGGTTCACTTGAAAGAGAAGGCACCTGGATCTCATAGGAAAGCAGGGCAGAATCAGCCCAGCAGATGTTGGCTTCTTCTGATCAGTTCAGGAAAACAAGTTTTGACTTGTGGAGAAGGATCTGCCTTGAGCACTATTACTGGGGATAATACTTCAACCAGGGTCAAAGTAACTCCCTAAAGCAGGTTATCAACTCCTTGAGCAGCAGTCACGGCAAGTCCCTGAGACAGTTCTTGGAAAGCTTACCTCCTCTACTCTAGGAAAATTAAGATGTAAAACTGGGGAAAACCTTAGCTTTACTATAACTGTCCTGTCCGAACTGTACCACTGAGAGGGACTATGATTTCCAAAATGGCATACAGCTTTGGTAAATGTCTCTTCTTTCACTGTTCAGGAATGCAGAAGATGGATTCTTTTTTTAAAGGTAAAAATAAGAATATTTTTAAAAGTAGGGGTATTTCTCAAGGGGGGAAGGCTAGTCCTGTTCATAACTGTTTTACAGGTTGAATGAGTCCTTCTTTTAATTGAGTTACTATTTTTAATTCTAAGGTAAACAACTGACATGGCTCCAACACAGAAAAAATACATGTGTTCTTGCTGTGGTCTCGAGTTCCAAGAAATGACTTTACGTTCTCTTTTGGGATATTGGTGGTGGGGCGAGGGGGTGGGGAGCGCAAAAGAAGATGTATCTGAAACTGACAGTTCTTCGAACATATGCAAATGTCATAAAAACACAAGCCTCCCTTGAGCTTAATGGCCAGTTTTTTTTTTTTTTTTTTTTTTTTTTTGGAGACAAGGTCTCACTCTGTCACCCAGGCTAGAGTGCAGTGGCACAATCTCAGCTCACTGCAACCTTCTCCTGGGCTCAAGAGATCCTCCCACCTCAGCCCCACAAGTAGCTGGGACTACTGGCATGAGCCATGACACCCGGCTTTTTTTTTTTATACTTTTGGTAGAGATGTGGTTTCACCATGTTGCCTAGGCTGGTCTTGAACTCCTGAACTCAAGTGATCCACCCACCTCAGCCTCCCAAAATGCTAGGATCATAGGCCTGAGCCACCACGCCTGGCCCCAGGCTCCTCTTAAAGGAGAGACAAAAAACAGACTGCAAGCCTTTGTCCTCTTCTCCCTCCAGCAGTCCTTGGTAGGAAGCCATGATGCAGATGAGCTGGACGCAGTGGCTAGCCTTCCACACCAGGCATGCTCATTCACAGTTTCAGAACAAAAGGAAAACCTCACTAAAGAGGTCAGAGGGAAAGAATGAGTAAGGAGAGAGAAAACACAAGCTTTCCCTATTTTCAGGAAAGCTCAGTCTTCCCAATGTTAGGGACACAGATGTGAGCCTGGCTTGGGGCACGAGGCACAACCCGCCACCCCAAACCTAAGGAGAGATGGTATATTCGCATGGGAACAGCTCCCATTCAAATTTCCTTTCTAATTTATTTTAAATTAAATCCTTTCAGTGTTTCTCTGTCTTTCTCCATGTCTGCTAGGCAGTTAAGAGAGGGGCAGAAACCAGGCTGGCGAGCAAAGAAGGAAGTGACCACAGGGCATTCTTTGCAGTTGGCATAGGGCCTTTGGCATCTACTTTCAAAACATGCCCAAACTAAAACCTCACGTGCTTCTTGCCAATCTTGCAGAGGCTGAATAAACTGCATGTGGCTCTGTGAAAAGCCACCTCATCCCATGTGGCATTTCTGCTGTCTGGTTGGGTTAACATCTCTGCCTTACAGAGGCTGGTAACATCCAGAGAGCAGACGGGTACCAAGGTTACTGGCCTCAGGAGGACCACTTTTCATTTCTTCCTGTGTTTTGGGGATACACAGCTCTGAGAAGGGACTTGTCACTGGGTTTGTTCATTACCGCTCCTGAGGGGGGTCTGAGACACAGGTAGCAGTCTCAAGCTGGTACCTTGTCAATCAGCAAGACAGTGCCATGAATGCCACGTCACGACACAGACTCTCTCAGGTCTTCCTAGGGAATGTTCATGTTATTGGGAGGTGGGTCCCCTGGGGGAGGCCTCTTCTTTCCTCTCCCTAGTTTTATGCGTCTTGCTCATGATGTGGCTGCTGTTGCCCCTGTTCCCCTCTCCCAGCAATGGTAAGACACACATGGGGCCTCTGGACATTTTTCCTAGCAAGTACATTGCTTTCAGGGTGGATGAAACTGCTACTGTACACCACTACTTCTCCAAATGTCTTCCTAGCGTTTGACGGAGCTTGGGAAATGATCCATTATACATTATGTGTGGCCGACTAGGGTGCTTCTGTGATGACCCCAGGACTGGGATAAACAGTGAGCCTTCCATCACCTTCACTGTGATGGACATGGGATGGCCCTGGGGTCTTCTGTTGACAAGGAAAATCTAAAAGGTGCTGGGAAAGTGTTGATCTATTTGGTTTCAATCAATCAATCTGGAAAGAGATGCTATATCTTCCTTTGTGCTGAAGGGGTGAAGGGCAAGGATGAGGGTGATGAACACGGCATCCTTCCAAAGCAGATGTAGGAGGGGGAAGAGAAGGACGAGAAAGAGGGGTGTCTGGAGTGCCTCAGTGCACTTCATGCATTAGACTTCAGTGTTTTTTTACTCAGCAGCTTGCCTCTGCTTGTTGAGTATTGAGATCCAGATCAAATATCAAGTGCTTTTCTAGGACAGAAGTGGTTAATGTGGAATCACCTTCAGCATCCTGCCTCTGTGGATGGGGAAGGCAGTCTCTCTACTGCCATCTTTAATCTCAGCATGTAAGAACAATCTGGGAGTGGTGGCGGGGGGGGGGGGGGCAGGGAATAGTCCAGATAAAGGGCCTAGAGAGTGGGTTACATGCTTGAATTTATGTGGGTTCCCTACCTCCTGGCCCCTGTCCTGCACAGGACACGACTCACTGTCTGCTTCCGAGAACGATCCGGATTCGTCACTGGAGTTGGTTCCATAAGACTGCTCACATTTAATCTGGGGCCGCACTTGGTTGTACATTCCATCTCCCATCAGGCCTGGTTCCTGATGTTCTGTGGCAAGGAATCTGGCTCCCTGGGAACAGGGCGAGGAGGAGAACTCACAGAGAGGGAGGCTGCAGGGCGAGCCCCCGCTCCCGTCCTCCGCATAGGAATAGGAGGAGCAGGAGCTGGAAGTCCTGGTCCTGGTCTCCAAGGGGGGTGAGCGAGGGCAGACTTTGATTGGCACCGGGCAGCTGGTGTTGGGCCGCATCCTTCCTGGCAAGTGGTCGGCCATCAGCCCACCGTGGGAGTAGGCCTGTGAGCTGGGGAGGGACTGGCCAGCTCCCACCCACAGACCCTTTGGCACCGGCTCAGAGAGGTCTTTGTCCAAACTGCTCACCCCAGAATAAGAATGCACCGCGGTGCTCACTTGGTCACAAGCGCTGGAGGAGAAGATCACGCTCCTCCGGTCCAGCTCTCCCTCCTGTTTACAGAGAGCCTCCAACCCAGGCCCCCTGAGGGGCGACCCCATGGTGAAGTTGGACACCTCCTTCTGGCCCACGTGGGGCTGTCCATAATTCCCTGTGAAAGGGGTGTAGTCAGTTTTAAGGTCACCCTGAGTGATCCCCTTGTCAAAAGGGCACGCTGGACTCCTGGCAAAGTGCTGCTGAGATGTACTGGGCAGGCCAGACAGCTCCACACTTTTTGTTATGCTGAACAGAGACCTTAAGCAGGAGGGCGAGGCCACGCTCCTGGATCTCTCCAGGCAGGCGGCCCCAGCTGGGGCCGTGGGGGTAGGGGCAGGGCTGGGCTGTTTCCGGTCCATCTCGACATCCCCTGCTCTGTCCTTGGCGTCAGGCTCATCTCCAGACAGGCAGAGTGTGACGCTCTCTTCCTCATTCTCTTCACTGGGTGGCTCACTTTTAATCTGCCCCATGGCAAGCCCTGGCTTGAGGCTGTTGCTAGAGTTTTCTTCCCGGAATGTGCTTGCAAAACCTGAGGTACTGTGTGATGATGCATTATAGACATTCTTGGTACATGCAAGCTGGTATTTCTTGTATCTGGGGTACTGCATTAACGCGTCCTTTTCTGAGCTTTCCTTGGTGTCCGTGGGCACGTCGGGCTCGGGCAGCAGGGCCTCTTCCTTCTCTGCCACGGGGATGGCGGCGGCCTCAAAGCTGATGGGCTCTGGAAGCATCTGGTCCCTGGGGCAAGCCATCTTGGCCGTCTCTGAATCCATCGTCTCCTCCTCTTCATCCTCCTCCTCTCCTGCAGAGTTCTCACAGTCCTCGTGCGGGCGCTGGCATGCAGCATCCTTCCGGCACACAAACAGGCCATCCTCACTGTTCAGGAGCTGGGTCTGCAGGAAACTGAAGCAGGAGTCCTCCAGGTTGTGCATGCGCAGGAACTCAGCACAGCGGATGACCTCGCGGATGTTTTCTCTGCTGAGTAACAGCTTGGCAGTGTAGGCAAACTGTAACAGCGGCCCAAAGCCCCTGGCTGTGACCTGCAAAACAAACAGGAAAATCGCCAACATTACCATCAGCACCGCTATTGTCCGGAATCCCTCAACTGAAGCAAGATAACCAGACAGTGCTAATGTCCCAGAATAAAGACTGCAAAGGGGCAGTTAATCTTGTAGTACTGGGTCAGCGATGATTCTGCTTCCAATAATTAGTGCCTGTCTCATGCATGCCACTGCTGTACTCCATCACGGCACAGGCAGAATTGAAAATCACCAGGGTCAAGTGGCTAAACAAGATGACAACGGGTTCAGTGTTTACACTAATGAAATATCCTGGCAAAAATGCACGGTGACAATGGGGAGCCTATTAATTTCCCTCCCAATCGGTCCTGTTGAGAGCCATTCTACACGAGAGGGGAGTGTTGTGACAGTTCTTGCAGCTTAGCTTGCTGGAGCCCAAGAGAGCCTTAACGTTTTCTTGTCAACCACAAAAATGACAAGGTGGCCCTGCAAAAAACTAAGTCCAGGGAGTTGCAAAAATAGGTTTTCCTCACTTACAATGTTAAAAGAGACATTAAAACAACTCTGTTTTGCTCATCCATCACAGTTTCTACTTGAGACTTTCGGTCATCATGTCCTACCTGATCTTATAATGATGATGATCTCATTATCTCACCAGAGATGACAACAATCAAAAGCGGTGTGCTCAAGACGAAATCAACCCCTGGCCCATAATGAACGGGGGTTGCAGAGCTAAACAAACCGGCTGTCATTTAAATGGTTGAAGCTGCTGAGTGGCACAGAGTATGGGCTATTCCTTCCCTAATTATTGGCAGCAGCTTTGCCATGCAGCTGTCTTTTTTTCCTGGTAAATCTTCAGGGGCTAAGCCTACTGTCATTTGCTGCTTATCCATTATATTTTACACAGATTGAAAGTGTGCTATTTATGCACAGCTTGCATATGCACACAAACACGTGTGCGCGCGCACGCATGCCTGCTCACACACAATGACTTAGACAATTAAGAATATGTTGCCTGAGGCCAATTGTTTTTTCAGATGGAAATGGATTAAACTTGCTGGTGTTCATCAGGGTAGGCTTCCTTACCCTGCACATAAAACCACACACCCTCTAGGTTCTTGCAAGCACCGCTGACTCCACAGGAAGGTGAGGCATGTCTACAAGTCCTGTACAAATCAAATGAAAGCAGCAATCATGGGGTCCTTGCTAGAAGCTATGGTAGCAGTGATACAAAATTTTAGCTGGGGGAGTGAGTGCACTGCAAGGTGAACTGGTAAGCTTTGTAGCTGACTTCTGCATGTATTAAACTCACCGTAGCATACAGAGCCAAAATTCTTGCAAGTACCTGTAATTGATGTTCAAGATTCAACCTGGACATTCACTCCTTTGGGAGTGCTCTCCAGTCCTCTTAGAGAGAATGAATGACATTGTCCTCTCAGCTCTCATAGCCAGGTGAGGAAATGTGCTGGATTCTCCAGGGCAGCAATGACTTCATATCACTGCATTCTTTCCAGTAAGGGAAATTTCTTAGACATGTAAGTGAACGGGATTTTAATTGTTAATCTTTTTAAAGTACTTAAGATTCCATCTTAAATTTTTTTTTTTTTCTGTCAGATGACGAGTCCAGAGATATTTGGTTAAAAAAACAAAACAAAAAGCCATGACTGCTAGACCCACATTATAAATTCTATGTGGGCAATCACTGCCATCTCCCTTTGATTATACCTAATTGTGTCTGTTTCTACCATAAGACAGCAAGCTCCTTCAGATCAGGAATGGTTTTGTCTGTCTTTGTAACCTTGCGTCTAATCTAACCTGGGGTCTCTAACATGGTAAATACTTGTTAAAAGCTTGTATGTTACCGAATATGTCATAAGTTGAACTGTGTGCTAACATACTACTACTGTGTACACAAGGTAACAACACAGTGTGTTTAGAGGGTGCTGTCTCAAGTTACTTTTGGAACAAGGCATCATGTAAATCAACTAACCAAACTGATCAACTGATCAAAGGCAGGCAGGCAGCGGTCTTTGTTTGCCCCGTGTCACAGTACCAGTATTAAAAAGGAGCTCATCTGACTGACATTTTGTATCCTGCTAAGGTGACATGGTAATAGGTTCAGGAAATGTAGTACTGACAATACATCTGTTTTATGTCCTTTTCTTCCAGGAATCTTTAAAAGAAAGTAAAAAAGCAAGGAAATGTGTATTCATAGGTAACTGAAGAAGGTGACAAGAATGTCACATGACCTATTCCTTTACTGCCACATGGTTCCACCACAAAGAAAGAAATGGTAAAATCAATGCAGAGTTGACCCCTGCCCTCATAATGATTCTGTGCTCCTCTGTAATGTGCCAGTTGCCGAACGGGTGGTTAAGACACTTCTTGAGTTTTGGCAAAGGTGCTCACTATATGGGAAATGTAGGAAATTACTTTCAATGATATTTACACTGTTCACACAGTTTTTCTCATACTCCTATCCTTATCACCATTTTTTTTTTTTTTTTTTTTTTGATGCTGTAGGTCTACGTAAGCCTTACCACTATCCTTCACTGTGGCCTCTTGTAAAGAAAATTTCTAAAGAAGCAAGGGACATCCATGGGGATCTGTAGATCAGGAAGCAGTACTGGGAGTCACCCTCTGCCACACGGCTGGCTGCAAGGAGCTGGAGAAAGCATCTCCGCTTAGAGAAGAGCTGATGCTTAAATGTATGAATTGGACTAAGGATGCAAATGTGCAAAGTCTCCACATCACAAATCAATGGCACTCCTTATATCACTGAGGCTTAGGAGACATGCTGAGCTTGAAATGATCGTCATATCATCATGAAAGAGTCACAGATAAAAAACCTTTTTTCTTTGAGATAGAGTCTCTCTGTCACCCAGGCTGGTGTGCAGTGGTGTGATCTCGGTTCACTGCAAGCTCCGCCTCCCGGGTTCACGCCATTCTCCTGCCTCAGCCTCCCTAGTAGCTGGGACTACAGGCGCCCGCCACCACACCTGACTAATTTTTTTGTATTTTTAGTAGAGACGGGGTTTCACCATGTTAGCCAGGATGGTCTCAATCTCCTGACCTCGTGATCCGCCTGCCTTGGCCTCCCAAAGTGCTGGGATTACAGGCATGAGCCACCGTGCTTGGCCAAAAAACCTGGTTTGTAAATTGTCACTTAAGCCCAAGGGCAGAGGAAATGGTGTCCTCACCATGAAAGTTCAAGAGCTCATAACTAGCTCATCTCCCATACTGGTTTCAGTCCTGCTTTGCTATATTTAAGTCTGCAAGATTTTGCTCGGCTTCTGTGTGTGAGGCTTTGTTTGGTGAGCCAGAATGACCATTTACCAAGTATCTCCTCGTGCCCAGCACTGTGCTCTTGTAACGCCTTGCAAGGCAGGCATGACTGCCCCTATTCTGTAGCTAAGGAAACTGTGAAGCAGGGAGGTGAAGGAGTTTATCCATGGTCATAGAGCTAGTCAATGGAGAGCTAGGATTCCAAACCAAGTCCAGTCTGTTTCTTCTTCTGTGCTCAGTGGTGTGAGGGAAGGATATGTGCAGGACTCAGGCCTGTGCTCAAGAGACCTACAATTTAGCTTTGTAGAAGAGGTACAAATGATGAAAAGTTAACTAAGTAACAATGTAAGTCAACAATGGAAAAGCCATTGCAAGATTAGATGAGTAGTTGTCAACTGAGAAATCCAGACAAGTTCAGGATAGGAGACTACTGAGGCTGAGGGGACTAGCGAGGGGGCCCCTTGAACACTTTTATCAGGACACCTTGAGTGTCTGCTCTAGGTCAAAGGTTGCTTTGATACGATGGCTACTTTCTGAACTGTCACAAGGGTCCCTCCCAGGAACCCATCTCTGGTCTACTTTAGGCAGTGGTAATTGCTCCAGATACACAAAACAGAAAGCAAGTGCCCATCACACCTGCCAGCAAGTGTTACAACAGGCAGAGGCTTTCTAAACACTGGCTTAGCCTCCATCTTGAGAAGCTGGCACTGTCTACTCATTTTTAGGAACCATTTAAATTCATTTATTATACCAGAAGGCAAATATTCAGGTACCAGTGAAAAGCTGTATGTTCATGAAACTGTGACCACAAGTGTGCACTGTTACTTTTTGTTCTTAACAAACAAGGCTCTAATAATGGGAAAAAATAAGAGTGGGTGGGAGGTGGAGAATTACACACAAAACTAAACTCACAAAATGGTATTTTACAAAGTAATGATCATAAAGTTACAATGGAATGAAGTGGCTAGAAATAGAAGAACAGTTCCAATTCACTGATGTTAATGGAGGTGCATCCCTCTGCTCTAAGCAGACCCCTCTAGGCTAAAATCCACTGGTCAGCAGTGGCCTCAAGGTATGAGAAACAAATGCAAAATACGGTATTAGGGACAACTTGGGATAACAGTCTTGCATTTTGAATGAAAATATTGTGAATGCCTCATTTCAAAGAATAATTTTTCATCGCATTTAAATATGTAACTACCTGGTCTCATAATGTGCAATACTCATTCTGATACAGATGAGATGGGATCATACAATGGGGCCAGAATACAGTTGCCATGTGGGGCCGAGACCTTGGAGAGGGCAGAAAGTTAACCCTCCAACCTCCCACCAACTGCTTCCTGGGAGGCAATGACCTCAGCTAGCAGTTGGCACATATGAGTTGGTTCAACTCTGAAAGAAATAAGGCCAGGCTACCATGTCTGATGGTGCAAGTCAACATGATGACAATGTGTTGAAATTTGATCCACTGTAACTATGACCCTTAACCCTTTATTCCACTGGGTTCTAACATATCATCTCTATGCTGAAAGGAAGATGGGCTGATGAAAACTCAACTGGTAGAGAAAGTCTGGGCACCGTTTGCAGAGCTGGGGAGCTCAGTGTTCCATGAGACATCCATTTTGCTGCAGGACAGAGTTTATGGTAGGATACTTACAACAGTTCCATCTCTGGACTATGACAGGAATGAGGCAGTCAGCCTTCAGGCATTTATTGAAAATAGGGTTTGAGAATTT